GAGAAGCTGCACTTGTGTTGAAGATTCTAAAAGGCCAAATAGGGAAACTTCAAGATTATAGAGAACTAAAATGCTGCAGACAAGAGACAAATTATCTTGGGCTATTTTTAGTGCCCTTGAAAGCCATCCATCTCCTCTGTATCTGACCTAATATACCATGAAATATAGAAGAAGTTATTCAAGGGCCTCACCCTTAAGAAACAACAATTCAGCCTCTTAATCCAAATAGTACCACCAGCTATTTCACATCATCTGTCAAAGGATTACTCTAAGAATTTAATGTATGCCTCAAGCCTGGCCCCCTGAAGCTATTTGTTAAAAACTGCTTCCACTCCATACTCCCAGGAGGAAGACAGATCTCTCAATGCTGCTTCTATGTGTATGTCTATATATATTCAATATATCAAATCGTGTTCTTTACTCAAAACTTTTATCAGTTTAAACTAAAAAAAACGAAAGCCAGGAGTAGTGTTGCAGGTGGATCTCTGTGAGTTCAAGAACAGCCTGGTCTACAAATCAAGTTCCAGGACGCCCAGGGCTCTGTTACACAGAGAAACCCTGTGTCAAAAACAAACAAACAAACAAACAAACAAACAAACAAACAAAAAAACCTAAAAATGAAACTGAAAGCATAAATCAGTAAACTAGGACCCAGGAAATCTGGCCCGTGTTTTATCGTAACTTAACTGACTGACTCATTTATGAATTATGCAGGGCTTCTTTCATGGTACAATAAAGAGAGAGCCTGGCCCTTAGCCAAAGAGTTCATAAAACACTGGCTTTAAAAATTCAGAGTGTTTGTGTTGTTAAAAACCTATATTCACTTTGTCTCTGCCTCCTACCTCAATGCAGGTTCAAGGAACCCAAGCCTGGGCCTCACACTTAATGCAGCAAGACCTTTGCTAGATTACTGTATCCCAAGCCCAGCCCAGTCACACTTTTATCTCCAGTGCATTTTTATTAAGAACTTTCTCATGCAGGTGGTAGTGGTGCACGCCTTTAATCCCAGCACTCAGGAGGCAGCGGCAGGCGAATATCTGTGAGTTCTAGGCCAGCCTGGTCTACACAGAGAAACCTGGGCTAGAAAAACTGAAACACGAAACAAAATAAACAAACCAAAAAACCTTTCTTCCAGCACTGCAGAGGCTGGAGTAGAAGGATTTTGAGTTCAAGGCCAACCTGGGATACATGATAAAAGTCAATCTCAAAGAAGAAAAGAAAAACAACTTCCTACCAAGAGTAAGCAGGAATCAGATCCCAAGTGTATGGATTTTTTTTTTTTTTTTGTCTGTTTGCTTACTTGCTTTTTGTCTTTTAGGTTTCTTGTTTGTTTGTTTTTAATCTTTCAACACATACCTTTCCAGGAATTTTCTTGTCAAAATCAGGAAAGTGGATTATTTTATTTATCTTGGACACATACAGTATCATTACGGTGGTGGCCATCTGAAAGGAGAAAGAAACTTAGCAAAATGTCACCTGGAAAGACAGCATGAGGTACCCTGATGTAATGATGTAATGAGAAGTACATTTATCAGAAAGATAACCTAAACAATACTTGTCAGACTGAAGGGAGGAAGCTAAAATTCTCACCACTGGACAAGATGTCGTTTGAATCAGAACAGACAAATTGTATAATCAAGGTAGGTGGATCTCTGTGAGTTCCAGACCAGCCTGGTCTACAAGAGCTAGTTTCAGAATAGCCTCCAAAGCCACAGAGAAACCCTGTCTTGAAAAACAAAAACAGAACAAAACAAAAATGTATAATCAAGCAGACTCACATGTGTACATTGTCCCAGGGGCCCTCTGAGAGTGACCAGGTGGACCAGATGACCCTAGACCACACTTACCACAAAGGGAGTGTATGGTCTGTTGGCTTCTTCCCTTAAAAGCCAGTGAGAGGAAACAATTTTTAAAAAGGAAAAACTCCTAAGCAGGCATAGTGACACACACCTTTAGTCCCAGGAGAGGCAGGTGGATCTCTGTGAGTTTGAGGCCAGCCTGGTCTACATAGTGAGTTCCAGAACAACAACAGCTACATAGAGAGACCCTATTTAAAGATAGGCACCCATTTAAAGATAGGAAAGTAGATTGGGAAATAAATATAAATAAAAACTAAAGAAGGGAAGAAAATAGACTGGGACTTTTTTAAAGAAGGGGAGAGGAAGTGTTGGAGGTTAATAAGGTTAAAATGCATTATACACACTGAAAATCTCATGAGACCCATTATTTTGTACAATTAATACAAGCTAATAAAAATGTCCTAAGAAAAGTCAGAGCCAAACTCCTGGAATTCAGTTATAGAGAGGGGGGAGTGATGAGCAAAGGGGTCAAGACTATGCTGGGGAAACCACAGAAACAGCTGACCTGAGCAAATGGGAGCTCACGAACCCCAGACTGATAGCTGGGGAACCAGCAAAAGACTGAACCAGGCCCCTCTGAACATGGGTGTCAGTTGGGGGGCTTGGACAGTCTATGGGGCCTCTGGCAGTGAAACCAGTATTTATCCCTAGTGCATGAATGGTCTGTGGGAGCCTGTTCCTTATGGAGGGATACTCTCTGGGCCTAACTCTTGCCCCAAATGATGTGACAGACTCTGATGATCCCCCATAAAAGGCTCCACCCTCCCTAAGGAGTGGATGGGGGTGAGTTGAGGAGTTGGTGGGAGGAATGGGAAGACAATGGGAGGTAGAGGGAACTGGGATTGATATGTAAAATAAGATTGTTTCTAATTTAAATAAAAATTAATAAAAAAAATATAAAAGAAAAGTTAAAGAGCCTTTTTTGGGAAGTCCAGCATTAAGATTTTTGTCGTCAGAGCCTAGAGAGATGGTTTAGCACCTGCAGCACTTCTGGAGGACTTGAGTTTAGTTCCCAGCACCCATGTCCCCACTTCAGGTAGTTCAAACTTCCAAGAACTCTAGCTCCAGGAGACACTATGACTTCTTCCAGCCTTTGGGCACTTGTATTCACACCTAATATGCCCACACATAAACACACACAAATACATATAATTAAAAAAATAAATCTCAGCCTGGCATAGTGACACATGGCTTTAGTCCCAGCACTCTGGAGGCAGAGGCAGGCTGACCTCTGAAAATTCCAGACCAGCCACGGTTACTCAAAAAAACAAAATAAAGGCTGGAGAGATGGCTCAGGGGTTGAGAGCACTGGCTGTTCTCCCAGAGGACCTGGGTTCAGTTCCCAGCACCCACATGGCAGTTCATACCTGTCTATAACTCCAGTTCCAGGGCTTCTGACACCCTCACACAGATAAACATTCAGTCAGAACACCAATGAACATAAAAATAAGTTATATATTATGGGCTGGAGAGATGGCTCAGAGGTTAAGAGCACTGACTGCTCTTCCAGAGGTCCTAAATTCAATTCCCAGCAACCACATGGTGGCTCACAACCATCTGTTATAAGACCCGGTGCCCTCTTCTGGTGTGCAGATATACATGGAAGCAAAACATTGTATACATAATAAATAAATAAAATCTTTAAAAAAAAATAAAATAAAGCCAGGCAGTGGTGGCATGTGCCTTTAATCCCAGCACTTGAGAGGCAGAGGTAGGTGGATCTCTGTAAATTCGAGGCCAGCGTGGATTACAAAGTAAGTTCCAGGACAGCCAGGTCTGTTTCACAGGGAAATCTTGTGATGAATAATAAATAAATAAATAAATAAGCAGATAAATAGATAAATAAGGCAACAGATAAATAAATAAATAAATAAATAAATATTAAGCCTTTAAGAAGATTTTCTTTTCAATCTAGACAACACAACCAAATTGTCTCATCTAAACTCTGTAAGTGGGAGCCTGAGAGCTGGCTCAGCAGTTAAGAACACTTGCTGCTCTTGCAGAGAACTTAAATTTGGCTTACATCACCCATGTTGTGTGGCTAACAATCACCATTACCAGTTGGAAGGAATCTAATGCCCTCTTCTGGACTCCATGGGCAACTGCATTAATATGAACATTCCCCACAGAGATACACAAACACACGCACACACACACACACACACACACACACACACACACACACAATTAAAGAATTGTAAAAATCAGTCTCACAGTCTTATAGATTTAGGCCATGATAGGTATATTAGAAATAGTCGATGATGTTTTTGAAATAAAGTCTTCATCTCCTGTGCAAATTTTAGAACTTACTCAGTTTTCTTCATATGAGAATGCAAAAGTTTAAGAACTGCTTCAATGTAGTTCTCCTAAACCTTGGTTCTTATTTATTTGTGAAGGGGCACTGGTGTACCACAGTATGTGTGTGTAGGTCAAAGATTTGTGCTAACCATAGTCTTAACAAAACACTTAAAATAGCCTGAACACCTATGGCTAGTTAAAAATTTGATTGTTTTCAACTCACCTGCCCAATTCCAAGAACAATTGGTGAGGGAAAACTGCAAGAAATACAGAATAACAAATCAGTTTAGCAACATAAAAAAGTTGAAGAGAATATGTAAAACATAATGACATAAAGGGCTGTTACAAGCTGGGCGTTGGTGGCACATGCCTTTAATCCCAGCACTCGGGAGGCAGAGGCAGGAGGATCTCTGTGAGTTCGAGGCCAGCCTGGTCTCCAGAGAGAGTGCCAGGATAGGCACCAAAGCTACACAGAGAAGCCCTGTCTTGAAAAGAAAGGAAGGAAGGAAGGAAGGAAGGAAGGAAGGAAGGAAGGAAGGAAGACCAAAAAAAAAAAAAAAAAAAGAGCTGTTACAGACATTCGACAATGGAAACTTCAAACAAATTGTCCATTTCTTTTTCATTTTTAAAAAACTGCTGGTTGCTGCCAGGTAATGGTGGCCCATACCTTTAATCCCAGAATTGAAGAGGCAGAGGCAGGTGAATCTCTGGGCCAGCCTGGTCTACAGAGCAAGTTCTAGGACAGCCAGGGCTGCACAGATAAACCCTGTTTCAAAAAATAAAAACAACAACAAAATATGATAGGTGCTAAACTTGTCAGTTTTCCTTCATTCTGTGAAGGTAAATTAGGCATAATTGTGTATACAGAAGAAACAGTAATACAATCAATAATTAAAGTTAATAAAATAAAATTTAAAATACCATACACAAGAAGACCTCTTGTGGTAATTTGAATAAGAATGGCCCCCAAGAACTCATATACTTGATGCTTAGTCACCAGGGAGTGGCAATATTTGAAAGAATTAGAAGGATTAGGAGGTGTGTCCTTGTTGGAGGAAGTGTGTCACTGGGGGTGAGCTTTGACGTTTCAAAAGTCCATGCCAGACCCAGTCTCTGTCTCTCTCTGCCTGTGGATCAGGATGTAGAACTCTCAGCTCCTTCTCCAGCACCATGTTCCCCACCATGATGATAATGGACTAAACCTCTGAAACTGTAAGCAAGCCTCAATTAAAAGCTTTCCCTTACAAGAGTTGCCATTTAACAGCAAATGGAACACTGACTAAGACACCTCTACATGGAAAACTAAATTGAAGTTAAAAGTTAAAGAACAATCAAGTCTGTTGGTGCAGGCAGGCCTGTTATCCTGGCTAACTAAAAGGTTAGGTAGAAGGATCCCAAGTTCAAGGCCAGCCTGAACAAGTTAGTGTGACCGTGCTCCAAAGAAAGAAAAACAAGGGACTAGAGACATGGCCCAGTGGTTAAAAGTCCTTTTTGCTCTTCCAGAGGACCCAAGTTCAGTTCCTAGCATCCATGTGGGCAGCTCACAGGCACCTATAACTAACTTTATTTCCAGAGCCACAGCACTCATACACATACATATACACATATTTAGAATAAGAAAAGTAAACTGTTATGTGGTATTTTGACTTGTTCTGGCAAATAAAGCTTGCTTGGAGTCAGAGGGTGGAGCTAGACACTAGTTAACCACAGAGGTCTGAGGTCTGGAGGACTGTACAGAAAGACAGGGAGTGATAAGGCAGGGCAGAGAGAGACTCTGGTCCTTTTTTTGGATAGATGAACAAAGAGAGATACGAAAATCTAATTGGTAGAATGGTGACTTAGGCAGGTGCAGCACCGCATGTGTAAATGGTTGCAAAGCCACTGGCAAGCAGCTATTTTGTGAATTTGTTTGACACGTTGGGTGCAAGATGAAGCATACATCTAATTAATCTTATCAATAAGAGCCAAGAGTCAGAAATAGGGTTTGTAAAAACCTGAAAGATGAAAGAACCAGAGGAGGGGCCACAGTGACTTTATACCTCTTCTGTTCTTCTGTCCAAAGAGGACAAAATCCTGTCTTAGCCCTGCCTTACCACTTCCTGTCCTTTCTCTACAGTCCTCTAAACCTCTACCATCAGCTGGTTGCTGCCTTTGCCCTCTGACTCCAAGCAAATTTTGTCAGAGCTCAATGAAAACATTATGAAACAATAAACCTTTAGAAAAAGAAGTCGTGCAGATGTAACCCTCAAAAAATTAAATAACATGTCCCCAATCTCTTTCTGGATTAAAGAACACTCAGAAATAAATAAGCAAAGAAGCAGTGCTAATAAGATACAGTTTTTGCAAAATGTAATTTAACCTGTTATCTCTGTCTCCATCTGTACATTCACATCTATTATTCATCCCTCCATTCAAATCCAAAAGTGTTCTGATAATTATGGTAATTTTAAAAGTGGTTTCAGTCTAATGGTTTCCTTTTGTTTGAATTCTTTGAAATGATCCCGACAGAATGCCTTTCCAAAAAGACAAAAAGACAAAATAAACATTTAAGAACAATGCTCCCAGTTGCCAGTCTATGGATCATTCTTACTTTGTTTACTTCTGAAGGTTTTTGTTTCAGGGGAGTGCTTGTTTGCTGTTGAAACAGTTTCCCTGTGTTGTTCTGGCTACCCTTGAACTCTCAGACTTGAGAAAGGTAAGTGCCACCAGACTCAGTTCATCAATTTGAATTCTGTAGGATCAAGATCAGAGATCAGGACATGCTTGGACCAAGATTCTGACTGAGCCAGTGATGACTCAGTGGGTTAGGCACCTTCTGGGCAAACATGAAGGCCTGAGTTTGGACTGCTGGCACCCATGTAAAAATTCAGGGACTGCACCCCTACCTGTAAGCTCAGCATTGAGGCAGGGACAGGATTCCTGAAGCTTGCTGACCAACCACAACAGCCAATCGGCCAGTGCCAATGAGATTCTACCCAAAAAGGTGGAGATTGACTGAAGATACCTGATTGATCGTGTGTGCACACATGTGTCTAAGGTCTCTGGTATATCACAAAACAAGCACACAGCAAGTTCTGAGCAAATATTTGTTGAATTGGATAAAACAAATTTGATTTTTTTTTTAAAGACACGGGCACCCTATATAGCTCAGGTGGTTCTCAAACTTATCAACCTTCCTGTCTCACCTCATGAGTAGATATTACAGATGTGCCTAGCTTGAATATTCAATATTTTTAATTAAATGTCATTAATAAATTCTCATGTCATAGAGAAGAGTATTCATAGGAAGCATACTAGCAGTCTGCCTGTGCAACCCTTATGATCACAACTGTGGCTAGTTGGTCACAGACTATTAGAACACCAACTCCTAGATGGTCCTTGTTCTAGCCCCTGAAAGCCACTGAGTTCACATGCTTACAGAATCTCTTCTGTGCCAAGTAAATCTAGCATTAGAATTGTCCTGGCCTCTCTAGGTGCCAAGCCACAGATGCTCACCACAAACCCTTCATGTCTACCACCTGGGAAACTCTTACACATTACTAAGTTTATCTGCTAGGCCCAGTGGTCATGGCACACTCCTTTAATCTCAGCAGAGCTTTAAAGAAGAAAGGGCCAGTGTTAAGATCTCCCAATTATTGGACAACCATTGCCTTCAGAGCAGCAACCAGGGTTCATTGGCTCCTTCTGAAAACAGGAAGAATGTGCTTCTTAAGGCATTAATGTTGCAGCCAGTCAGTAGTCCACAAACTCCAATGCAAGAGATTTATCTTCAGCCTTTGGCTGACATAACGAACTACTCCTATATATCCCCATGACATCCTCGTGTTTTTAATTGTAGATTTTGATGGTTTTATTTATAATTTGTGGTGATATATTATTATTTATGATTTATTAAAGCTGGCTGGGGATTCAGAAAAGCAAAATCAGCCTCAAGCTATAGGGATTAGGTGATGCACACCTTTAATCCCAGCAGCCAGAAGCCAGAAGGTGGTGATACACACCTTTACTCCTAGGACTCAGGGTTAAGAGATAGATGGATCTCTGTGAGTTCAAGGCCACCCAAATCTACACAAAACTGATCCAGTCCTAAAGAGAAACAGCTCACACAAAGATGATCTCAGCACCTGGGTTCTCATGTCTTTAATCCCAGCATTAGGGAGGTATATAAGACAGGAGCAAGGTCTCAGTATCAAGACATTCATTCTCCAGCCACATTGAGGATAGGAAGACATTCTGTCTCAGGATTCTCCAGGCACACTGAGGAGAGGCAGCAGGATCAGCCCATTCAGCCTGAGTTAGTAGTAAGAGCTAGCATCCAGCTACTTTGCTTTTCTAATCTTCAGCTAGAAGCTTGAACCCCAATATCTGTCTCTAGGTCTTTTATTTATGGTGCAATGATAATTTATTTTTATTTTATGCATACTGGTGTATCCTGCATGTATGTCTCTGTGAGAGTATCCGATCCCCAAGAACAAGTTTACAGACAGTTGTGAGCTGCCATGTAGGTGCTGGGAATTGAACCCAGTCCTCTGGAAGAGCAGCCAGTGCTCTTAACCACTAAGCCATCTCTCCAGCCCATTTTACTTATTTATTTATTGATTTTTTGAGACAGGGTTTCTTTGTGTAACAGCTCTGGCTGTCCTTCCTGGAACTTGATCTGTAGACCAGGCTGGCCTCAAACTCACAGAGATCCACCTGCCTCTGTCTCCCAAGTGCTGGGATCAAAGGTATATGCCACCAAGCCTAGTGATTTTTTTTAAATATTTATTTTCTTTTATGTGTTTAGGTGTTTTGCCTGTATATATTATGTACCCAATGAGGCCAGAAAAGGGCACTGTATCCCCTGGAACTGAAGTTATGGATGGCTGTGAACCAGCCTGTGGGTGCTGGGAACCAAACAGGGTCCTCTGTAACAGTAGCCAGTGCTTTTTAACTGCTGAGCCATTTCTCCAGCCCCTTTACATTTTCTTTATTTTACTTTCAGACAAGGTCTCCTATAGCTCAAGCTGGCCTTGAACTCAACCTGCCAGATGACCTTGAACTTCTGATTTTGCTGCCTCTGACTCCCAAGAGGCAGGGTTACAGGTGTCCGCTATTTTGTGGTGCCGAGGATTGAACCCAGTCTTTTACAAGCTAGGCAAGCGCTACCAACAAACAGCCTCAGCCGCCACCCTGACATTTTCTTTTTCCTTTATATACCTGGCATTATGCGTATTAACTGACTTAAGCGTATATTCATTTTCATTTATTTGTGGGGTTTTCTGAAAGATTTATTTTTATCTATGTGCTTGTGAGTGTATTATCACGAGTGGATGTCTGAGAAGAGACTAGATCCCCTGGAATTGTCAGACCCCTTGGAGTTGAAGTTACAGGTAGCTGTGAGCCACACCGTGTGAGTGCTAGGCTTGCAAGACAGTTTGGTGACTAAAGGAGCTTGCTGCCAAGCCTAACATGCTGAGTTCCATCCCAGGGACCCACACAGTAGAAGAAAAATGACTCCTGAAAGTTGTCCTCTGACTGACACACACTTTACATGTTTCTACTTTATTACTGGTACACGAGGGTGTGAGATGAAGGGTTTTCAGCTGCTCTGTTTTCACTTCAGTTACAATGGCCGGACACCCTGGGCACACAGTATCCCTGAGTGAATGAATGAAGGCTCTGACCCTGCCCTCCTGCATGGTTCTGCTGAGTTCTCCTGTCACCGTGGCACTTGCTCACTTCCAGGCACACTGACATTCTCTTTGCTCCTCCAGGAGGCTCTGATCTTGCTGCTCTCTTCTCACTGATGTTTGGCAACAACCCCTCACTTCTCTCTCCGATCATATTTGATAAGTGTTACCTGTATTATCCTGAACCTGTTTGTTTATTCTCTACCATTAAAGAGGTTTCACATGGTCCCTACCATTTCCCCAGGGTTCTCCATGGGCCCAGCACACAGCAGATGATCAGTATCTAAAGGACTTACAGCCTGTGGACCTGATTTGGGTGCTGAGTTTTCCCAAATGTAAAACAAAAAGGCAGTCTTGTAGAGTTCACAAAGAGCCCCCATTAGTGACAGCTTGGACAAGGCCCTGGGAGGTCAATACCAGGCTTGTAGGCAGCTAGGTTCTTTCTGCATCTAAGGAAAATGTTAAGTATTGACTAGTGTCAGGGGCAGAGCGCTCACCCCTGGGGCCAGATTTAAACCCATGGTTTGCTCAGGATTGTTACCACACAGTAGAAGTAAGTAGGATATTATAGTCTTTACAAGTAAGTTCAAAGAAGCATAGAGTTGCTAGTGCACTCAACTCGAATCCAAAACAAAAACAAAAAACCTCATCTTGTAAACTTCTGTTTGTTCTGGTTCTCCAGAAATACAGTGATTATTTGAGAATGGATGATCAACCCATATAAACAGATCACAAGTCCAGGTGTAATCTGTGGAACATACTTTTGTTTTGCTTGGGGTTGGCTGGAGATGATATTAAGTGAAAAGTCTTGGGCTGCTTCCCCAGCAGTGTATCCAAACAGGTGTGTTACACGCTGGAGGGGGGTAGGGGGAGGCAGGAAAACTATTAAGGAATCCCGAAGTTAGCCTGGAATGCATGAAACCCTGTCTCAAAAACACCGAAAAGATCAAAAGTAATACTTTGATCAAAATACGCCTGTGTTTATGATGCTGCACACCTGTAATGCCAAGTGTCCTTGCTAAGGAGGCTGTCATGAGGATTTGAGCTCAAGGCCAGCGTGAGCTACCTGATGAATGAATGTCTCAAAATTAAGTTTTTTTCTCAGTTGGTGTGTTTATTTAAAGCCTGCGCTTTCCAAGTTCAGCTGGTGTGTGCTGCACCCCGATCCCAAGTGGACTTTGTTGTTGTATGGTGACTTGGTGGAGGCAAAGCACAGACTGGGCGTTCCAGGCCCCGGCCACCCTGCGTCCCGCACAACCAGCCTCACCCGTAGGTGGTCAGCAGCGCCTTGTTGACCAGCACGATGAGGAAGGAGCATGTCCCGTAGAAGAGCGCCGACAGCAGCCTGGCCAGGCGA